TCTCTATTTTCATTGTTCCATTTCTCCTTATGAGTGGGGATGTGGATCAACGTTTGGATCTGGAATGGTTTCGACTTGTATGGTAAAAGAATATCCCTTTGACTTTATGGGGGTAAAGCGTTTCTCCTTGAATTGGATCAGTTTCTCTCGTTTCGGGGATATTGTCCATCCCTCATTTCAAATGATTCCTGTTAATCAAAGAACAGCGACACTTTATTGGGCACATCCATTTCATATTATTTTTGCTGAACTTGATGATGAAAATTATTATTTAATTCTTGTTCAAAATATCTATCATCGATCAAGAAGAATTAATCAAGAAATTCAATCAAAAGATCATTGTCCACATATCAATGAAATAAATCAAACTCTTAATCAATATCATCTTCTTCGTCGTATTAAATATTATCATGTACCATGTAACATGTCTTCATTAAATCTTTCTTGTTTTTATGATGATAATTATTTTTGTTTATGTAATTATTTTGGACAACAACGTATAGCCAATTGTTTTGAATTTGATCCTAAGAAAAAGTTCGATTGTTTTGGTCAAAGTAATTGTCAAAATGAAGCAAAATGTTTACAGGATAGATCTCTATGTGCACAAGCATCAATATGTGTTTGCCCTCGATGTTTTTATGGAACATTATGCCAATTTAGTGCACAGGGATTTGGTCTTTCTCTTGATGATATTTTAGGTTATCAAATTCAACCACATATCACAATTACACATCAACCATTTGCTATACAATTCAGTATAATATTAACGATGATTATAACAATTATTGGATTAATCAACAGTATTCTATCATTCATAACATTTAATAATAAAGAAATATGTCAAATTGGTTGTGGAATTTATTTACTAACTATATCAATGATTACTTTATTTACAATGATATTATTTGTCTTAAAGTTTTGGATACTTCTTATTGCACAAATGATGTATGTTACAAATGATTCATTCTTAAAAATACAATGTATTTCAATAGATTTTTTATTACGAATCGGTATTAATATGGATCGATGGTTATCAGCATGTATAGCTATTGAACGAGTTATTGCTGTAATTAAAGGAACTAGTTTTGATAAGAATAAAAGTAAAAAAATAGCTAAATTTATCATTTTGATTGTTTTTATTTTTAATATTTCTACAAATATTCATGATCCTATTCATCGACATTTAATAGAAGATAATGAAAATGAAAAAAGAATTTGGTGTATTATCACTTATTCATCAGCATTAAGAACATATAATAAAATTATGAATCTATGTCATTTTTTCATTCCATTTATTATTAATTTAATGTCTGGTCCACTTATAATTCTAGTAACAACTCGACAACGAAAAATTATTCGAAATCAAGAAAGTTATCAAAAAATATTAAAGAAACAGATTCAGGAACATAGACATCTATTGATATCTTCAACTAGTTTAATTATATTGGCTATATTACAGTTAATCATTGCTTTTGTATCAGATTGTATGAGTTCAAGAAATGACCCATGGTTGTTTTTGATTGGATATTTTATTTCATTTATTCCATCGATATTGACTTTTCCTGTCTTTATTATGCCATCAACATCATATAAACAACACTTTTTAAAGACTTATGAACGATACAAACGAACGATACGAAGACGATTACATCTAGCTTCATAAAATATTAGACAAAAAGACAAAACAAAAATATTTCTTCATCGCGTTTTTTTTTCTCATTGCTTTTTATCCTTTATCGCTTATTTTGCTTCTCGTTGTGAAACAAATACATATAACATTCATACTGGCATCTTATTTCTTTTATTCCAGGGTGTGGGTGTGTGTGGATGCTTGTGTGGTGGCTGTGGGTATGCGTGTATGTATGCGCGTCCTTTCTTCATCCGCGACCAGCACTCAGACCCATCTACACCCACACTGACATTCACATCCATCCCACACCCTGAATTTAGTTGCTTACAAAAAAATCGAGTTTTCTGAACTGATTTGAGGGTGTAGGTGTTCTTCTCATTCATCACCACCCCCTTTAAACCATCATCAATCAACTGCAAAACAGGAAATGTTTGTAGGCTGTAGAACTAGATGACTAGGCCTGCACCCAAATTCATTGGAATACAAGGTTTTAGTTTGGTTGATCGAAGTCCTAAAATTTTATTCTAATCAAGTTCGGAACCCATTCCAGAAAAATTATGGTTTAACAGACCTATTATTATGAGATTGCCATCACGATTGCCTCATAGATATGTCGATTGTACTAGTCATCAACACAAATAGGTGAGAAAAACAGATTCATATTCGTGGAGCGACTATTACATTGCTGAGATCGGATTCTATCTATATTTTGCCTTATGTATCGGATGTTATTTCTATTTCTTTTATATTGTGTTAGAAAATGTGAGAAAATCAGTCACTTCTGTTATACATATAGCTTTTAATCATTAGGGGGTTTATATGTCTACCATATAGTCATATATTTCTGAAGACATCATTTGTAAATAGACGATATCTTTTTGTTTTTGCTTACTGAATGGATTGGCTGAAAATTCCCCAACAGTACTCTAAGTAAGTAAACAGAAAAAGCTACAATTTACAAAATAATCATGTACTCTTTGAAACTTTTTACTGCTGTCTTATAAATTTATACACTCGGACTGAATATATATATTATATAAAAAGACTTTAGTTGATCTCAATTTTGAAATTAAGTTTTCATAGATAAAATAAATAAATACAATTTTATATATATATTTAATGCAAAGATGTCTCCACACTGAGGGTGTGATGATCCTTCAAGATTTGAAAATCTTGTTTTTTGACACAACAATTTTATCGAAATTTCCTTGGAACATATTAATAATTTATGACAAAATTTATGTAATTTATCGAATATCACAGAAGATATTACTTGATTTATTTTCCATTTTTTGTAAAAGATTTAATTGAACATTATTTTCATTTGTTTAATATAATTTTGGAAAATATACTGCTTATGGTATGTATGTGAATAAAAATGTTATAGTTGAGGTTAGCAATTATATTCTATTAATAAAAGAATTTCAAACGATGGAATCAACATAATTGAAATTTCTAGTAGAGTCAGTGTATTAAAAGATTCAATATTTTAAAAAAATCGTAATTAGAGGCCAGCATGTATTTAGTTTCTATAATAACACGTGGAGTTTTTTTCTTCTTGTTGATGACGACAATATTCTATTTCA